TTTAATTCTCATTTACCTTAAGTTACATATCAATTTGGTATCAGATCTTTGATGGTATTCACCCGAAGTATGGAGAACCGATTGGAGATTATGGAAGAAGGGTTGCGCAGGAACAACGTTTGTCAGGATGAAGTGATTCGAAGATTAGAAGCTGTTGAGGGAGGAGTAGCCAAAATCATCAGGAGGTCGGATGAGATGGCTGGGAGAAGAAAGAGTCGTTCTCGTGGCAAAGAAGGTGATGCTGACGACAACTCTTCATATGCTATGGAGGAAGGACGTAGAAGACCCAACACAATGGTTCTGAGAATCAGACGGTTGGAAATCCTTGTGTTTTTTGGCGACAACGAGTTCGGATGGATAAGTAAGGTTGAGAGGAATTTCACCATCAATGGTGTGGTTGAAGCAGAGAAGGTAACGGTTGTTCTTGTGGTGCTCGAGGGAGAAGCGCTTCATTGGTATTAATGGTGGAAAGTCAACAACCCCAATGCAAACTAGACCCTATTCCGACGAGAATTGATGAGTCATTTTTAATCGGAAGCTCTGGATAATCCGTACCGAGCCCTGTATGTGCTCAAACAATGTGGAGTGTGGCTGAGTTTCGAGCGAAATTTGAAAAGATGGTAGGACCTCTTCGTTTTAAGGATGAAGACTTGCTCAAAGAGGCTTGGCTCAATGGAGTACGCAACAACATCAAGGAGGAACTCTTGATGACATCGGCGATTAATCTATCTGATATGGTGAAGCACTCTCTGAAGATAGAGAGAAGAAATGCTACTTGGGTGGAAGAGGGTTTAGGGGCTCTTAGTAAAAAATGGACCCAAGTTCCCAGCCAAAGAAATATGGGCCAGCGGACGGTTTCAAGCCCAAATAAAGCTAAGAGAGAGGATTCGTCTAACTTGGGCCCAACTAACACCTTCACATCGGGTCAGACCAATACCACTACTCACTCCAACATGAGTTGCCCTAATCCTACCATCGTAGATCAGTTAGGGCTGCTTGTAACAGAGACTGCTACGTATAACGTAGAGGTTGGTGACGGACACAAGGTCAAGTGAGGATGTGGAGATTAAGGTCCAATCTGCTCAAGTTAAGTTGGACCTATTCTTGTTTGAACTGGGAGGGGGCTGGTGTGGTACTTGGTTTGGAATGGTTAACCCAACTTACAAAAGGCCAACTTCAAGGAGATGACACTTCACTTTAGGCACGAAGATGCAGAAGTCATGATTAGAGAAGATCCTACTTTATCAAGATCTGAAGCTTCGTTCAAATCTTTTGTCGAGGCTCTGATGAACCAGGGGCAAAGATATTATCTAAGTACTGAAAAAGATACTGTGGGGATGGTGGAGCAGTCGTGGGAAGGATTAGAGTCCTTCCTGTTGGAGTTCCAAGACTTGTTTCAGGTGGCAACGACCCTACCTCCCAAACGGACGTGTGATCATGCCATCAACCTCTAACAAGGAAGTCAAGTCCCCAACCTTCGACCATTCAGGTACCTTCATTACCAAAAAATAGATATATAAAATTTAGTCTATGAGTTGTTGAATAATAGGTGGATAAAAAATAGTACTAACTCGTATTCTAGTCCTATGATACTAGTGAAGAAAAAAGACGGTAGTTGGCGGGTTTACGTTGACTACGGAGCTCTTAACAAGTTTACTGTGCCTGACAAGTTCCCCATTTCGATGGTGTAGGAACTGCTGGACGAGTTAGGTGGTTCCGAGATACCTCAAATCTACTTACCACCAGATAAGGATGAGGGAAGATGACATACCAAAAACAACCTTTAGTGATACACGAAAGGCATTATGAGTATTTGGTGATGCCCTTCGGACTGACTAATGCTTCGTCAACTTTTCAGGCTCTGATGAATGAAATTTTGAGGTCATTTTTACAGAAGTTCACACTAGTTTTCCTAGACGATATTTTAATTTATAGCAAGAGCAAGGAGGAGCACTTAGAGCAACTGAGGAAGGTATTTTAAGTTATAAGGCAACATCAGTTAGTGGTATACAAAAAAAAAATGCAGCTTTGGGAGCAATCGGGTGGAATATCTTGGGCACATAATTTTAGCCAAGGGAATTGGTGCCAATCTGAGCAAGTTGAAGGCGATGGAAGAATGGTCTGTTCCCAAGGACCTGAGAAGTTTAAGGGGATTTTTAGGATTAACAGGGTACTATAGGAGATTTGTGAAAGATTACGGTAAAATAGCCAAGTCGTTGACTAATCTATTGAAAAAAGATGGCTTTAGGTGAACCCTGAGGCGGAGGAAGCTTTTCTTCATCTGAAAAATAACATGTGTACTGTTCCGGTCCTTGTTTTACCTGATTTTCAAAAGCCTTTCATTGTTTGTATAGACGTATCAAGCAAGGGAATAAGGGTATCTTAATGCAAGAAAACACCCATTGACTTATCTCAGTCAAGGCTTTTCCCCTAAAGCCAAAAACAAATCTGTGTACGAAAAATAGTTGATGGCTATAGTGTTTTCCATACAAAAGTGGAAGCGTTACCTTATGGGGAGACACTTCATTGTGAAGACAGATCAGAAAAGCCTAAGACATTTATTGGAACAAAAGGTTTTGGTAGAAGATAAACAAGGGTGGATTTCAAAGTTAATTGGCTTTGACTTCGAAATTCAATCTCAACCTGGGAAAGAGAACTTGGTGGCATATGCTCTTTCTCGTCAAATACAGTTTGCCAACATATCCAAGCTTCAATTACCTGATTTAAAATTGAGATTAAAGAGGACAACAAGCTGCGAAGATAGTGACTTACTCGTGGATTTTGATGCTCACGATGGGTTTAATTTATGAGGGGAAATACTATTTTTTAAAGAAAGGTTAGTTTACCTAAAAACTCTAAATTTATTTCCCCACTCTTAGAAGAGTTTCGTTGCTCCAGTGTGGGCGGACATTCCGGTTTGGAACTACATATGCTTTGGAATGTTTTTCTTTGTTGCCTTTCATCATTCTCTATATTCTCATTCTTCACTATTTTTTCACTATTGAGCTATTACTCCCTATTCATGCTACCTTGACAGCTTTTCTTCCTTATCTTAAGTGTTTATTCTTCATATTTTCAGTGATGCCAAAAGGGGGAAAATGGATGCCATATTTTGTGAATAATAATTTAGTTGTAGCTTAACAAAGTTAGGGGAAATAGTGTTTATGCAATCATCATTGAGCATTCATGTTATATCTGTAATGAATTAGTTTTTCTTGGTACATGGCATAAATTATTTGTCATCATCAAAAAGAGAGAAATTGTTGGATATTTGTTATACCCAATTGTTTAATTGATTTAAAATATTTTTTGATGATTACAATCAATTTAATGTTAATTTAATTGATAATATTTTATATTCTTGAAATTACTAATGAGCTTATTGTTTGAGATTTCAGAATAATATTTATTCTGATTTGAATTAGTATTCACGATAATTGAAGATTGGAGAAGATATGGAAGATATCATGAAGAGATAGAAAAGCATGGAATCAAATAAAGATTAGGATAGATTTTATCTTTTTAGATTTCATGTAAGAGAAATAAAATATTATTTTCCAAAGATTTGATTATGATTGCATTGTATAATAGATTAAGATGTTAATATTATAAATAGGGCTCATTGTATATATATTACCTATATGCTTGAGGAAAAGAAGCACTGAAGTAAATCATTTAATTGTAATTTTCTTCTTGACCTTTTTGAAGGTCTGTACTGAGAAACTTGGATATCAGTTCTTGTGTTGGGAAACTGGATACCAGCATGTCTCTTTTTCTTGAAAATTGAGAGTAACTTGAGAACCCTTGTGTGATAAGGTTTCAGAATTCTTAAGGGTTAGGATTTCGTACTGGGAAACTAGGATACCAGTTGAGAATTTGTGTAAGGGGTAGACTAGAAAACTAGGATACTAGAGAACTCTTTGTACACAAGTTTCATAGTGGAGTTGCCCGTCGAATTTCAGTATTCGATTGTAGGGCCCGTGATTTTTCTTCCCTTTTGGATTTTCCATGTAAAAACTATTGTGTTAATGTCTCTCTATCCTTATCTTGATTTATTACTTTGAGTTAATTTTAATTAGCGAATTATTTTTATAAAACTCAATTCACCCCCTCTTGAGTTCATTTGAGACCAACAAAGGACTCCATAGGCATGACAGTATGACACCATTCAAGGTGCTCTGTGGGATTAACCCACCAGCTTTGCTTAAGGGAAACTATTTTGTTTCTGCAGTGGATGAAGCATCCAAGCGTTGGTTGATAGAGATGCCATCTTACAAGAACAGAAATTGAATATGGAGGCCAACTAGACAGGTATATAGAAGAAGGGACAAGAACATAAAGGTTTGGGCTCATAATACTGATGTGGACTCAAACATAATGGGTGAAGAAATTGAATATGGAGGCCCAACTGGGGTGGTTGCTGGCCCAGGTGGGTTTGATGACCAAGATGCCCTCCAACAGAATACTAGCGGGGGAGAGCAAGGTGGGGGGCAAGTTAGTTACGCGAAAGTGGTTATGAGAAGCTGGGACAATTAAGGGAAGCACCTTTGGAGAATATTGTGGTTTGGAACCTTGGGAGAGAATGAGGCCTCTTCAACTGCCTCACATTTATCCTTTACATTTTCTATATTGGTTATTTTCCTTTCTTTATCTTGTGAGCTGGGTTTTCTTGTTGCAAATTGTCTCTAACTGTAATCATTTCCTTAAGAATATATGAAGAAAGTATTGTTCAGACCTTGATTCTCTGTTTCCCGTGATTTAATTCTCATTTTCCTTGAGTTACCAATCAGATATCCCTTCCTCGAAAGTCTAAATTAAGCTTGGTGGGATTATATGGCTTAACATTTCTTAAGGAACCCACATAGAGTAAAGAACCACCAGCACGAGCTAGTTGAAAAACAAGAGAGTATCAAGTGTCTATAGGTCTTGTATAGATTATGTATATATGCAAATTGTTAGAGATGATTAGCACATAACAATACATTTACATATGCACAATATCAACGAGACGATACTTCAGTGTCAGAGGCAGAAGATTCACTGTACCCACTACAAACATTGCCACGACAAAGCGGACAAACACTGCAAAAGAGGAGGAGCCGAGAAAAGTGATTATCTGTATAACATGAATTTGGAAAGACCAAAAGAATAGATTGCAATGACAATACCCATGAATTTCTTTGAGCCATTTATCAACACACGACATGTGATACTCGTGGTTGCAAGGAAGAAGTCGTATTTGTTCCCCTTCTTCATACTCATCCAGGCATATGTAACATCTAGCAAATAAATTGTTAACTTTTTTAATAATCATGAGGAAAGTAAAAATATTTCATCCGCCAAAGAAACAAAATAAATAAAAACAAACTTGTCATATTAGCATTAAAAGTCATAACAACTTGACAAGACTTCAGCATAAAATGAATATCAAACAAATTAACCATAACCACGACACTGACACATACAGCCACACGGTCCTGTTCTTAGGATAAGATAATAGGAATAAGAGGCTTACTGTTCAGCATCAGTGTTGCCATGTGCATCAACCTTTTTGTGGGACTTCAGAGGGAGAGAATCAACAATTGATTCAGGTGCAGGGAGTGAGACCATGGATAGGTAAAGTGATAGAGGTTGCCGATGGATCTCTTCCAAAAACTGCAAAGGCTAAGTAAGTCACCAAGTAAAATTGTTTTGGTTCACATATTACACTCTCATAGTCCAATAGCATAGTATAGAACCATTTTGGATCAAATTATTATACCTAAAGCTTCAAATTCTAGGTAACCAGCACAACTGGACCTGGCATAATAACGCATGCTTATTACCATGTACCAAGAAAGAGAAAGAGAAAAAAAAATTGCCTGCCACCATTTCATTATTTGAGCAACTTCAATTACAGGTTATTTGAGACTTCCATTTAATATTTTATAAAGATTACTCAAAAAGATATCATAGAATCATAGTTAGCTTTTCTATCATTTCAACCTAGGTGTTTGTGATGACTTTGAACTGTTTGTGTTATGAGTTTAGGTCTGCTTCCCTTAGAAGGGTGAAGTCTCTCACTGTAATGGTGCTCATAGAGCCAGCGAATGGATCAAAACTCTATATGGGAGTCACCGTATGTATCTCAGAGAAGGCTGAGAGAGGGGATTGTGTTAAAAGCACAGTGGTTCTATATTTTGGCAGAGAAACAATTCATAAATGTAAGGGATGCAAGATGCCCCTTCAAAGGATGAAAAGGGACATATATAGGTGGAAAAATATTCGATAAATATTCCCTAATAGAGTCATAACCATTTTGCCAAGTAACCCCACTGCTATACATGAGGTAGTACACCTCAAAAGTGCACGAGGTGAGCTGTACAAGGAGTGAGAGATCCTCTATTATTATGAGGGTCTATAAGTCTCACTTGAGGGAGGCAAGAGAGTGACCCCTTAAAAGGGCCTCTAAGGGCCAGCTCTGGACCAGAGCTGTGAGGCTTATCCAGAACAGACTTAAAAGCATATTTTAAAATATAGTCTGAATACAATTTGACATTTATTCTGTAGTATTTACAGGATGGCGTATGCATACACCATCATGATCTCCACACTAAGAATAAAATAAACTAATAAAACTAAATCCATGGCTGTATAAACCCCAATAAAATGCTCATATTACAGCAAGCGGTATCCAACTGCAATATGTAAATACTACAATGCAGAGGTAGAATAAAAAGATGGACATTTAATAAATAAAATACTAGGTCACATCCTAGCACCAAAAAAACATTTGTATACCTACAGTAAACAAAACAAATAAATAGGGAAAACCCGTGTGCAAGGCTCCCTGAGGTTCGAGGATTAGAAAAACAAGTTTTTCATACCATGCTTACAAAAATTCCATGGTAACATCAGTCCAAGATGATATTTAAAAAGACCTAACTTAATTATGATAATGAAAATCAGATAACATGGATTATCAGGAAGATATACAATGGAACGTTAATAAAGAAATTGAGGCCAAAAAGAAAAAGGAAGAAATGCATCTTAGCGTTCACACTCAAAACATGCTTATCCAGAATGCATGCTATCCTGTTAACTGTATCATGATCACTTAATCAGATATAACCAATTGGCCATCAGCAAAAACCAGACTTAACCTAAATGCATAGAATATAAAACAAGAAAATTAAGATGCATACAGATTACATTACGCAAGAAAAAAATGGTGTAAGGCTGGAAATTAAAACAAATTGAATCTAAGATAAAGGAAAAGTATGACAGTTGAGAAAAGGATAAAACCTCAAACAATGCTTCAGCCAGCATGACTATTCTAGAAACTCTTGCTCGAATGCTAGATTCCTCATCCATTGCAAAAGACTCACAAGAGCACACACCATCTGCATGAAGTCCTAAGGGACAAGAAGAATTCGAACGACCAATCCCATCAAGGCCACCATGAAGCCTTTCCCAGATCTATAAAAATTCATGAAAACAGAAGTTACATGGAAAAGGCAAAGGGGTCACAAATCCAACTATAAATGCAAGTAGGTTATATAAGTAATTTGAGGCATTCTATAGCCAAAAAATTCAGAATCACCTCAGATCTTGAGTTCTGCCTTTGTTCATTAAATCTGTTAATTCTATTGCCCAGATGTCTCGAATCACCTCCAACCCCATCATTTGGGAAATCAACACCCAAATTAACAAGCAATTGTTCTTGAGATCCTAGATCCTCAGCATTGCTAGCGGAGAGGACAATGGTGGGAGAATCACCAAACCTTCTAGAACTATGTCGCAAAAAGGCATCCCAAAATAGTCTTCTACCATTCCTTCTGGCATCCTGATCACTGTCGCCAGCAGTACTATCAGACAAAATGTTGGACGATATTGCTATCACATCAACTGGAAGCACGCTTTGATTTCCCTGTCCTGTTTCATGACTGGACACAAGAAAACCTGAACTTGAAGGTGTTGTCTCTTGGGAAGGTTCATCTTCTCGCAATTGAGAAGTTACTGGTAAATTGGAAATGTCGGTAACAGGCCTGGAAACAGAACTCTGGATAGCTATAAATGCACTGGAATGATTCTCAATAGAAATTTCACTAGAACGGGAATTTCCATGCTCTTGATGCATTGTCTCGTGAGAAATTTGAGAGTCACCACTATCCACTGAATTACCAATGTTAATGACTGCATCCTTGTTAACAGAAACATTATCAGAGACTAGATTGGAAGACATCTGTTCTACAAATGAAGTACTAGCTATGTTGCTACTATCCCTATAAAATCCATGAGGACTATGATCAGCACTTACATGAGATGGAGGAACTAGCTCCTTACATTCAGATAAGTATGGTCTCTGCCTACTTGTTGCAACATTTCTGCAACAACCTTCCACAGTATTATTCCCACTGAACTCGGTTCTGGTATCAGATGAGGTGGCAGTTTCCGCATGGGGGATGCAGCTAATTCTAGCTTCTGCACAAGATGATTCGTCCGTGACTTCCCAAATTTCATCATTAAATTCTGTTTCAGATTCTACCTGAAGTGCAGTTGGCTGTTCTTCCATCTAAAAAACACAATATAAGTATGCCATTCCTGTATCAGTCACTCCATAAAGGTGATCCTCAATTGTTGCACAATCACACAAATTAACATGGTTTCACGAACAGAATTTCAAGCCAAGCTCAATTTTTTTTTTTTCTTGACATGGATGAATGAAAACAGCTATTCCTGATAGGCATGCCTGGATAGATGCATAATTTAATACCTACCAACGTGCGTTCATCAAATCAATGGAAAGTAAAGGAATGCCATATGCGACTATTTGCCAATGAATGAAGCTTGAGTTGGACTCCAATGCATGCAACATCTGAAATTTTAATTTTCAAGATTTGAGGGATTATGCTATTCGCAGAATACAATACAAGCAGGAATTCAATTGCATAGAGTTGAAAGCATTTATCTATTCTCCAATTCTTTTTTACACGATCAGAAGATAACTTCATTGATCAGGCCCATATGCGTTAAGCCATACTAACCAATTGCTACCAGATTCTACATTCTCCACCCATCGCTCGAACAACTACAATAATATACCAATCACTACAACCAACAAAGTATAGAGCAAATTCATGCCTGGAAGATAATAACACACAATCAATAAAAGAAAGATTTAAACAGCTTCTATATATCAAATAGTTTATAAAAAAAAACGCATAGACAATCACAACCTCGTTTTATCAATAAACCAAGCTCAGCTGGTTCGCCTTTTCAACACAATAAAAAAAAAAAAAAAACATGCTGAACAATATATACGTGATAGGAAAAATTACTCTTATGTTACATGTGATAACGTTCTCTCCTACACACCCTTTGATAATTGTGCCACCTTTCTCTTTACTTTTCTTTTTATTTTTCAGATGGTGGAGCCCACAAAATTGTCTCTATTCTATGACTTGAGATAACTTATTTCATTTTAACATGAGATTAATAAAACTCACAGCTAATACCAAAAAAGGGTACAATATTTAAATGCTACAGAAGCTTTGGTTTTGTTCTAATGACGAAAAACGGGATGGGGTTAACCAAACCCAAATTAGTTAAGCTGGTAAAAAACTAATTTTGAAATCGAAAAACGATCCATGAATGGAAAATAAGATATGGGTACCTGAGAAGCAGAGAGAGAGGTAGAGGCACCGCAGAGAAGAGAGGAAAATGTGAAGCGGTTGGTGGGGTTGGCTGTGGGGGAAGGAAGAGGAGAACCGAGTCGACTCGAGGTGGAACCCATTGAGGAGAGAGAAAGGGGTGAGGGAAGAAGAAGAAGAAGAAAGGTGAAAGACAAGAAATTAAGAAAGAGAATGTGCTATGCGTGGGAAAGGGAGAGACAAATATAGAAGATTGTGCTGTCTTACTTATGTTGCCATTTTTTATTCATTGACGACCAAAGAAGACCAACTCTTTGAGCATTTCCAATAAGATTTCAATCCGCAAATTTGGGGCAAGAACATTGTGCAACGTCTGCTTGGTGTATGATACATGCAGCGCGTACCGTTTGGTATGGAGAATCTTTTGTTTAGATTTTCTTTGTTTTGTTTTTGAGAAAATGATCGAGTATAAATTATGGGAAAGAAAAAATTTGTGTCATTTTAAAAGGATGATAAAGTTGTGGTAAGAGAGAGAGAAAGACACAAATAAAAGAGGAAAGATATTTGACAAAAAAAAATAAAAGTGTTGGTCTCATGTCTTTATAAGAATGAAAGGATATAAGTTGTGTCATTTAAAAAGATAAATATTTTTTCCATAAATTATATACACTGATCGTTTATTATACAAGAGGTTTGTAATTTATGGAGGAGGACAAAAACAGAAGGTACTCAAAGATAGAAATATAATAAAGAAAAGGAATGTGACACAAATGGGATAGAGATGGCAAAATGATTGAAATAATCCGTCGACCCGCCAAAAAAGAAAAGGTTGGATTATACGTAGAGAAATAGATGTATCATGTTGTAGGAAATTGGTTGTGTCATGCTATAGACACAATCAATGTGGACCCCACCAATTTCTTTTCTTTTCTTTTTATTTTAAAATGGTGGGGTTCACATTGGTTGTGTCTATCACATGACACAACCAAATTTCTACAACATGATACATCTATTTCCCTTATACATATCAATCCACTTTAACCCCTCCCATTTATAATTGGATTAAAATGGATTCCAGACGGAGCGGGCGGATTAACTCGCAGGTTATTTTTTTTTTTAATTTATAAAAGAAGGGAAAGGATATTGTGACAATTAAGTTGTGTTACTACCAAGTGACTACCAATCAATTTCACCGGTAGATCGATTATGTTGATCCAACGATTATATTTATTTCCATTTTTGCATGGTCATGATTCTCCATATTTAAAGTGAAAGCATTAAATTTGAAAAATCATAACCATACAAAGGTAAAAATAAATATAAAATATTAAATTTCAAAAATCATGACCATACAAAGATGAAAATAAATATAACCGTTGGATCAAGATAATCGATCCAATAGTAAGATTGATTGGTAATAACATAACTTGGTTGTCACAATATCCTTCCTCATAATATTATAACAAAGTTTGCATTCTCGTATCTAATTCTTATGCGTATCAAATAAAACACATAATTATAAATATGGCTACCATATATAGTAGAAAGAATGAAAAAAAAGAAGATTGTACTTATGCTACCCATCAAGTGCAATCTAAAGGCTTTAAGTTCTCATGAAGTTAAAACAAATAAAATAAACTACTTTGTAAGTTTTCACTTAATTATAATTTGGTCCCTGTATTTAAAAACTTTTAAACAAATTTTTATAGTTGTAAAAATTTTAAATTAAGTCATCAAAAGGGATTAACACCTTTAAAGCGCCACAAATATTGTTGACGTAGCATTTTATATATGACAAAAATCTATTGTGATATTTTATCAAAAAAAAAAAACTATGATGTTATGATAATTACTTTTAATTATTTGCATAAGTCATCAGCATCTAATGCATAAAAATTGTACATAAATTTTTTAAACCTATTCCATTTCCTCTTTCTATTTATCCCATTCTTTGCATTTGCCTTCCCATTACCAACCAGAACGAGAACTTTATATATAACTACAATCGAAATCTTCCACCAAAGAGGAAAAGAAAAAACTACAATCGAAACAACAAAACAGAGTACATATCAGACACTGTTTGATTTCTATTCTCAAAAACTGTTTTTAAGTTTTTAAAACTAAAAAGTAAAAAAATCTGTTTGGAAATGATTGTTTTGTAAAATGATTTTCAAAACAATGATTGTTTTTTAGTTTTAAAAACTGAAAAATGGAAACAAGGGATGTTCTGGTTAGCGATTTTCTGATTTTTTTGTTTTCACGGTGGCATGTTTGTGAATATCACAATTCATTAATGACAATTTCATAAATATGAAGACTCAAAACAAATGCTTTACGGTGGCATTTTTGTAATTCTGAAACTTCATTAATGGTGTTTTGGTAAATAACTACAAGTTTCTTATAACTTTCATTTAACAACATTCAAACAAGTTTTTTGTTTTTCTACTATCAAAATCAGTTTTTAAAATTCATATTCAAAATAGTTTTTGAAAAACAAAAACAAAAACACTTTCAAACGTAACCCTAATTTCATGCATTACATTTTAAAAGAAAGAACCGATCCTAGTCCATCACCAAAACGCGTGAAGGAAACTTAAAAGTCATTAGTCAACCAAATCTGAAATAACTACTCATAGAGTCATTAACACAATTGAGAATTGTCAACAATACGTACAGTCTGGAATAACAATCAGAAAATTCACCATTGCGTGCAGTACACTCAACATACAGGCCTAGATTTCAACACTTCAGATTGAACGAAAAGAAATTTCCTACCACAGCTATCATTTTCTATCAAAAGCTGAAGAGAGAAATGCCTCTACGAGAATTGAAAAATTAAAAAAAATTCAAAAACTGTTATATGAATTCTAACTTGTTCTTTTCAACTTCCTCTATATGAATAAGGCGTAAAATATGATCCAATAAAAAGTAGAGACATACAAATAAGAGAAAAGAAGTTAAAAAAAACCAAAAAAAAAAAAAAAAAAAAAAAAACCAAAAAATGAAAGACAGGGAAAGAAGAAAAAGAGCAAGGGACGAAATATAAAAGTACACTTACGCTATATGAAGGTTTTTAGTAACGATAAATCTCAGCAAACTAAATTAAATAAATAAAATGATTTTAAATGACAGAAAGTTATGTCATTTTTAAGGGAGATACAGATACAGAAAATTTGAATTTTAAATTAAAAAAAACCACCTACTTTCTCTCTACCATAATTTCCGTTTTTCTGTGTCTGTCTCTTACCTAAAATGACGTAACTTATATCATTTAAAATGACAAACAACCAACCCTAAATAAAAAGATGGAATGAGTCGTAAATGAGCAAAAACTTAAGACGATGAAAAGAGAAATAAGTTATAATTATTGAACAGCACGTAAATTTGTGGAGACAATTCTGGGCGACTGATACAGCATTAATGATAGGAAACAGAAAGTAAATTCACAAACCCAACAACCTTTTCTTTTTGACTTTGTAAACAGTTGGTCTCTGCCGCACCGTAAGTTAAGAAAAATTAAGTGTCATCACACAAACAGTATAAAAATGCGTCTATATGTTATCCGTGGTGTGCCTCCTCAGAATTAAAAAGGCTCGAAAGATGTCTTACTTACCGATGCTGGTTTGTTTCCTTGTAGTTACCATGTTCATCCTTGTGGGGCTTGCTGAGCCTCAACTACAAAAGCCATTGCCTCAAGGTAGACTCACTAAAGAGCCACCGCCACCCAGTCAAATAGACACGCCAGTGCCGCTACTACCGACAACGCCACCCGGCCTCATTATCCCAGAAGAACCCAGAGGACCTTCTCGGCCAGAATCTCCCCAACCAATACACGATCCCCCGATCGACACCCCAGGAAAACCCCCAGTACCTTTTCCAGTAGGAAAGCCCGTTCGGTCGCCCCCTGTGCATACATAGGTCAAGTTTCAAGAAGGCACCTGTCTACAACATGTGCAACAAGACACCTTAAGCTTATGGTTGGTCACTGTCCCTATTTCCCTAGCTTCTACCCTTCTCCACAACATGGCCTCCTTTCTATAAACGCACTTCCTTCTTTTAAGTACGTTTTGTTAGAAGTCCCACATTCGTTATATAGGAAGCTAACGTGGAATTTATAAGGCTTCAGGCACTTTTATCCTTTGAGCTAGTCTTTGGAGTGGTGACCTCAAGGTCCGTACCAATTGGTGCTTTCGTTGAGAGTTGAGGCCACGGAAAAGACTACCTATAGGTTGGATTAAGGTATTTTTAGGCACCAGTGTCGATAGAGTGAAAGTCACCGTGGACGAGGGAATGTTAATGTTACAAGTCCCACATTGGTTATGTAGGAGGAAGCTAATGTGAAATTTATAAGGCCTTGGGCACTCCCACCATTTAAGCTAGTTTTTGGAATAGTGACCTTAAGGTCCATAACAGCCTTCTTATTAAATAAAAGTCGCAGCTTCATAATTTCCTGCATAATTATGTTTTATTATATTTTGATGGGTAAAAGCATATGTAATTCTGTATTGTTATTACACAAAGTTTAAGTGATGATAGTATGTATAGTACTATTTAAACATGGAAAAAAAATCACGTTTGAAATAAAAAACTACTTTTATTTCTGCAGAAATTCAAATGGTTTGCACAATTGATTAAGGTGAGCGTGATATCTTGGAAATGATAGAAGGAAAGTCTATCAAGAGAACATGGAATGCGGATAAACTGAAGATGTATTACAGTTAAATTCGGAATCCAGAGATTGACTATTTTGAAGTATTTTTCAATTTCTAGGCAAATTATGTTGCTTTGTATGGATTGTTTAAAGCCGACTATATCGGCAAATTCATGTAATCAAAGTCTTTGATATCAATAAATGAGGAGTTTTTCTTTTCGAAACTTATCCTTACAAGATTATGATGCATCAACATAAACCTGAGATATAAGTGTGATTTGTTGTAACACCCCGTGTATACTTGGATTGTTATCATATTAGGATATTAGCGCAACTCAATTAAATGCGGAAGCTAAAATAAAATCAGTTATTAGACATGCAAGATTACTTATTTCTATATTAACATGGCAATATAAAATCCACCTATATCCTTATGTAATTGCAAAACCTCAAATGAAATCCTGAAATGCCTCAATATCATAAATAAATACTAAGTCATGAAGCTACGTCGCGTAGCCATGACCAACGCCCATAGCTCATGGCGTAAACAAAACATACATGTTCAACAATAACACAAATAAATCAAAGGCATGGACAACCCTCATGCTCACAACAAACATAACATAAGCATAATAGTCATAGCTCAGGTACAATAATCATGTCCAAATGATATAAATAAAGTATGCATATAAATCAACTCTGCTCCGGCCTCTTGCCTCGGGAAGCATCCATCTCATGGACGTCTACACCTGAAAATATGCCCCACACGGGGTGAGATCTCTAAAAAGAAATCTCAGTAAGCAAAGGTTCTCGAAGAGTTCCTCCACCCCAAGCTCACTTCGGTATAACAGTTCAAATATAACAGTTCAACAATAATAGCATAATCACATGATGCAGCAACATATATTTATCATGCATGTGTGCTAACAAGTCTACTGGCCAGAGAATGCATGGTCCATGCACGTTTGCTACACGCATAAGAAGCATAAGGCATCTACCTTATACCCACACTCAGGGATTACCATCTTGTGTAGCTCCACACTACACTCAGGGATTATTATCTTGTGTGTAATACACCATATAACATACATATATAAGAGTGCATCATTTCATCATCTAACATAACAGATAATCATATATACTATATAAAACTACCATCCCCCTCTTGGAGTATGGTTGAAGAAATGGGGATTAACCCTGAGAACACGAAACTTACCTGTCAAGTAGTATACTCAAGCTTAAAATCCAAACAGCAGTCCACAAGTCACAAAATAGCAGGATCAAGGTCTGTTTATAACATTAATATCATCAATACTTATGCTCTATAACTTCAAGCCAAAAGGAATATGTTTTCATTTTCGCTTACTACAGGCTTTCCTCAAAGCCTTAAGCCTTAAATCGCGTTTACTCTTTTTAAAACTTTAATTGTAACTCTTTATCAAAAATTGAAATATTTTAATATGTTAACCTAGACATCTCCATCTTTACAACGACATATTATATGTCTCAATCGGAGTTTTGTAACTCCAGTTATGATTTTTGCAAAGTGACTGCTGCAAACTGAATTTCCAGCAACCAAGTCGCTGCTTAAAACTATTACTGCGATAGAACTACTTATCCAATAGCTATGAAATTTTACATAGTTGTATAACTATGTGTTAGCTTCATATAGGTCCAAACGGAACTCAATTTAGAGCTAGCTTAAGATATTGGATTTTTAGCAAACTGTGTTCGCTGCTAGTTCATGTACTCGGGTAACAAGGTATGTACCCGGGTAAGTTGTTGAAGAACATCTACCCGAGTAGGGTTGAAGATGTACTCAGGTAGAACATCAGCAGAACGCAATTTTTGACTAAAAATGCCAATTTTTGCAAACCAAAACAACAAATTATCATTTTTAAGGTTCATAGAGGTTCAAGCTACCCTTTTAATGTATGTTCTAACTAATAGTCCACTAAGTTATCATTTTTACTCATTAAACATGTTCAAAACTCAATCTTTTCAACAAAACTCAAGAGAAAAGGGTGAGAGGTATACCCAAGGCTTCCAATACAGAAAAAGAAGGATCTTTGGAGACTGTGATGCTACCATTAGCTATTGCCCAACCTCACCCACGAAAATTGTCTTCAAGTTTGATTCTTTATCCATCAAGAGTGCTTCTAGGTTGTCAATGGTGTGTATGGATGACTCAAGCTCCCATAAAGAAATTCCTACCTCTAATCCTCTCCAAAACAGAATTCAAGACTCTCAAGAAATAGTTTTTCTCCCTCAATATGATAGCTTTTGTGTGTTACAAGGTTTGAAAGGGAAGAATCAAGTAGACAAATGGTGTCCTTGGTGTTTCTTGAAGGCAAAGCTATGGAGTTGTGAAGAGAGAAAGGGTGGCAGCCATGAAGAAGGTGGAAAACTCTACGTAGGATTTGTGAATTCTGACCTAGGGTTTAGTGCCTACCTATTTATAGTTGTGTTAGCTCAAATCGTCGCTATTAGTTCTAATAGTTCTACTAATTATTTTTCTTCCAAACTTCATATTCTTAACCTAGACATTTTTCTAGGAATTATTATAGTTTTCTTATAATTTTCGCAGCACTTTGCCGGTACGCATTTTATACGCTGTCGGTATTAATTCTGACATTATTTCTCATTATTATGACTTTAAACTTCATATTCCAGTCCTAAATATTATCCTAGGAATATAAACATACTTTTCATAATTTTTCGACATATTTTATCGGTACACATTTATACCGTGAAGCAGACCCGATATCTGCACTTTTCGTCAGAAAAGCGACTTTTAACGTTATTAAACCCTTACATTAATTATTTAAGTCCTCTCATAATTATTCCAAGTCAATTATGAAATTATTTTTTAAACTCATAATTAATTCAATTAAATTTCTAATTTAACGGTGCAAGTTCTTACATTCACCCCACCTTTTAAGAATTTTGACAGCCAAATTAGAGACATACATGTCCCTAAACTCGGGGTATCTCCGGAGAAGCTCATTCTCCCGCTCCCAAGTGCACTCCTCAGGATTTCTACCTTAAGTTATCTCTAATCAATTATGTTCAATAGTGTTTTGAATTCACTCACACCGTGAAAAGTATCTTTTTGTGATGTGCTCTGCCACAGAGTACACGCTCTCAGCATTTCCTTCATTATTGGAAGGATCCACACAGTTTCACCATCCATTAGAAGATGATATGCAGTACTTATTTTTAATTGAGTGACGAAAGCTCTTTGTTATGCACTCTAACTCGAGAGATTGGACAATACAATCACACATCAACTGAGTGTCCAATCAAACTCCTCAGAGGCACCCTCTTCGGATATATCCCTTCCAGGGACAGTCCACAAAATGCTGATGGCCAATAATCCACTCAATCAACTTAGATCCACAGGTTATATTATCAAACACTTCGATACAATATTTAATGTATAAACATAATTCAGACATCATATTGTGCAATCACAATAATTCAACACACACAATTCTCAACATCCAGTTCGTACCCAAAATGATCTCAAGGTTAACCATGGGTAGACATGAGATCTGCTACGCAATCTCGGCCATCCAACTGAAATACCACATCCCAGAGTAGGTGAAGTTTTGCATTTCTCCCCCGTAGTGGTAGTAACCCTCGGAAATGGAAAAAGCTCAAACATGGGCAAGTTTAGCCCCACAACAATCGGACTCGCAATAAATAGTGCGTCGTCCTTAATTCAAACAATACATCACTAACGTATCCCCAACGTGAATTATATCTCTCATAAGATTCAGAGCTCGGTCCAACTGCTGATGGTCAGGGGTATAAACTCGATCGGTCCCTAATGGTGCAGGAATCATCTGGAGTGGTGCCACATGAGTAACCGCAGCACTAGCGACACGTTTAAAGCAATCTCTGGAATAGTGGCCCTCATTGCCACACTTGAAACAAATAATCTTCCCCGTAGCACAGGGTCCCATATGTGATTTCCCGCAACTAGCACACTTCGGAATAGTCGAAGGTCTAGCAAAGTTGCTTGCCTGAGTAGTAGTCCTCTGGAACTGCTGATATGATTTTTTTACATGAAGACCTTTGCCTTTTCTCCTGCCATCAAATCTCCTATATCCATCATTCGTAGAAGCGCCCGCTTCTTTCTCCTCAGACACCTTGGCCTTTTTGGCCTTGCCAACCACACAAACATTCTCAATGTCACGACACTGCTGAATCAAGGTGCCAAAGTCTCTGGATGCTGCTCCCGCAATCCTCTCTGCTATTTCCTCACTAAGACCTTTACGAAATTTAGAAGCTAGAAACATCGGTGTCGGCATCACCATCCGAAAATGAGCAAACTTGGCTAATTCATTGAATTTAGCTAAATACTCATCCACAATCATCGAGCCCTGTACCAGACGCTCGAACTCTCCCTGCTTGCGCTTTGTCGCATCATATGCGAAATACTTCCCCAAAAATAGCTCCTCAAAGAATGGCCATGTCATGATCTGGCCCTACATCTCGTATGCCTAAGAAGTGTTCATCCACCACTCATGTGCATCTCCCTCGAGCATGTAGGTAGCCAACAACAACTTCTGTGGATCACTACACTGCATCACCCTGAAAATCTTATCCAAGGCCTGCAACCACTTGGCTGCGACAATTGGGTCGTACGATCCGTCAAATGATGGTGGTTTATGCTTGCGAAAAAGCATTCAGCCGGCAGTCTCTCGTCTCCTGGTCCTCAGTAGGTTCGAAGTATGGCTCCATCATGCCAGTAAGATGACTAATGTAACACCCTGTGTATACCCGTTTTGTTAACATGTTATCGTATTAGGCCACGCTTAATTAAAAATGCGAAATAACTTTTTACTTTCCATTATGACGTCATTATCATTAACCAAGTTGATTATTAAATCCTTTTACAAAATATTGCCTGTATGTAATTGCAAATAGACAGCTAACTAAAATACCTCAATATATAAATAAGTGAGTATATAAGTCACGAAACTACAACACGTAGACCAAACATAATCCTGATACAATTATACAACTCGAATCTAAAAGCATAAAGTCAAGTCAATGTGGCATGGACAACCTCCATGCTCACCAAATAAGGCAACAAGGCCCAACAAGTCTCAAATCCAAAAACACGATAATAAATACAAGACAGGTCAGCATCCAAGCATATCATCATAAAAGCAGAAATATCAGCTAAGCTCCGGCCTCCTGCCACTAGAGGTCTCAACCCCTGCATTACCTGAACCTAAAAATGGTGCCCCAGACGTGCGGTGAGATCTCTAAACAGAAATCTCAGTAAGACAATGGGTCCTCAAGGATTTCTCCACCCCAAGCTCACTTACAATATAAGTTCTAAAAACAGTTTAACAATATAAGTTCCAAAATCAGTGCAATGCAGCAGATAATTATGTCATGTGTGTCAACTATTCTACTAGCCAGAGAAATGCAAGATTTACATACGTCTATTACTCACATAGTACACGTCCATGCCGTACCTTCCCACAGGATACCCATCCCGTCTAGGCGAATCATCACATACATATCATAGGGCATTTGCACTTAACAGCTCAAAAGCATTTCAATAAATCAATACATGAAAACACATCATGCATACAAACCATTCCCCAATGGGGTATGGTGGAACCAATAATGGCTAAACCGAGGACACGAAAGATTACCTATCCGCAACATGCTCCAATGAACTCTTAGCATCCAAAGGACTACAATCATAGGCCCTCACAAAATCACAACCTATTTCAAGATATAAAGACAATTAATAAATATGCTCGTTAACGACATTCTTTTATATATTATCTTTTACGTAGCCATTCTTTACGTAGTGACACCAACTCAAGGTGGGAGAAACTAAGTCCACTCTCTAAGGTCCCTTAACCTTAGAACATCACTTACAAGTACCATAGAGTCTATAATTCATTTTCTTGAAGAATTCAACTCTATTTAAGAATACGACAAAAAACTTTGCCTACCATTTTAAAAACTGCAGTTGCAACTCTTTACTAAAAATTATGAGATTTTATTATGTTAAACTAGACATCACAAGCTTTCCAATGACATATTTTATGTCTTAATCGGAGTTGTATAACTCCGGTTATGATTTCCACAAAGTGACTGCTGCAAACTGAATTTCCAGCAACCAAGACGCGACTTTAAACTAACACTGAGATCAAACCACTTATCCAATGGCTACGAAATTTTATAGAGTTGTAGCCCTAGGTGTTAGCTACACATTGTCAAAAACGGAACTCGATTTGGAGCTCTGTAGCTTAAGATATCGAATTTTTACCGAAACAGGTTCGTTGTTGTCTCAATATCCGGATATCATATTCGGATATGCCGTTTCCGGATATCATATCCGGATATTTCGCGAAAGAGGCCAAAAACAGCAGCCTCTCACGAAATTAACCATTAAAAATTCCATCTTTCACCTAGATACATCTATCCCATCGACTTAGCATGTATTTTAACACTTAGGTCATCAACCAACGTTCAAATTATCAAAACTCATAATTTTACATCTTCAAATCATGTTATATTCATGAAAACACAAAGGAAAGTGTTGAGGTATATACCCAAGAGCTTCAAGACAACAAAAGGAAGAGACTTCATGGTCTACAACCCACTCCCCACTGCTGCCAAGGTAAGAGCACGAAAATTGTTCTTCAAAGTTGGTTCTTTCTTGCCAAACAACTACTCTTCAATGGCTTGGGGTGATTCAAGCTCTCACAAATTGAGATGGTGTTTAAACACACATGGGCAGAATATTTATGGCTCCAAGATGAGGTTTTTCCCTGCCAAAGTGTTTGCTTTCAAGGTTCCCTAGTGATTAGATGGAATGGAGAAGGTAAAAGATGAAAGCTTTGGTGATTTCCATGGAGAGAAGAATGATTTCTTGGAGAGGAGAAGGGTGGTAATGTGGCTGAACCAAGCTTCAGAAAACTCACGTATGAAAGATGATAATCTGACCTAGGTCTTTGTGCCAATCGCTATTTATAGTCTCATTAAGTTTAATCCCAATTTATTAGCATTAATAGCTACACTTATCATTTTAATCTCAAACTTGACATTCTGAACCTAGCCATTTTTCTAGGATTTGTCATATTTTTATTTTATTTTTCGCATTACTTTTTCGGTACACGCTTTTACTTAGCCAGTATCAGTTCTGGCACCAGTTCTCATTATTTTGACTCCTATATATTATTCTAGGAATATTCCTACACTTGTTATAATTTTTCAGAAACCGTGGAGCAGAATCGGTATCTGCACTTTTCGTCAGAAAAGCGACTTTCAACATTATTAATCACTTACCATAATTATTTAAGTCTTATCATAATTATTAGGGTCAATTATGAAATTATCTCATTAATCTCATAATTAATTAAATAAATTCATTAATTAACGGTGCAGGTTCTTACATTCACCCCACCTTTTTAGGATTTTGTCCTCAAAATCAGAAACATACCTGTCTCGGAAGTCGGGGTATTGCCGGAGAAGCTCGTCCTCTCGCTCCCAAGTACACTCCTCAGGAGTCCTTCCCGTCCACTGCATTTTGACCATCGGAATGATCTTGCTCCTCAGCTTCTTCTCGCCGCGATCGAGAATCTTGAGTGGTCCGACGGGAGTTTTCAAGTTCTCCCGAATTTCCACATCATCCGATTGCACCACGTGCGAAGGATCTGCTATGTACTTCTGTAGCTGAGACACGTGAAACACGTCGTGGATGTTGGCCAAGTTTGAAGGCAAGGCAAGCCGGTAGGCAACAGGTCCTACTCTACCAAGAATCTGATATGGCCCAATAGATCTTGGGCTCAGCTTCCTCACTTCGAGGGCTCGACCAACACCGGTGACAGGTGAAAGTCTCACAAACACGTGCTCACCCTCACTGAACTCCAGTGGACGATGCTTAACATCATAGTAACTCTTCTGACGATTCTATGCCTGCTTCAGCTTATCTCTGATCATCTGAATCTGCTGGGTGGTATCTTAGACAAAGTCCAAGCCAAAAAGCTCCTTGTCTCCAACCTCAAACCTACAAGTAGGAGTCTGAAACCTCCTACCATACAACGCCTCGTAGGGTGCCATGTCCAGGCTAGCATGGAAACTGTTGTTGTACGAAAATTCCACCTGTGGCAAGTACCTATCCCGTGTTGAACCTAGCTCCAAAGTGCAAGCCCTCAACATGTCCTCCAAGGTCTGGATGGTCCTTTCAGTCTGCTCGTCAGTCTGAGGGTGATAGGCTATACTCAGTCTCAACTGAGTTCTAAAAGCTCCTTGCAGCGCTTCCCAGAACCGAGATGTGAACTTCGGGTTCCTATCACTGATGATACTCATGGGCACCTCGTGTAGCCTCACAATCTCGCGAACATACAGTCTGGCTAATTGCTCAGAAGTGAAGCCTTCCTTTACCGGAAGAAAGTGGGCAGACTAGACAATCTGTCCACAATGACCCATAAAGAGCCACAACCATCCTGAGTCTCAGGCAAACCCATCACGAAGTCCATGGAAATGCTCTCTCATTTCCACTGCGGAATCTCACGAGGTTGAAGCTTACCAGACGGCTTCTGGTGTTCTATCTTCACCTTCTGGCAAACAAACATTTGGACACAAAAACAACAATGTCCTTCTTCATTCCAAGACACACTGTCCTAGTTCTTCACAAAGTCCAGGCACTCTCTCTGCACTTGCGCCTCTTGGATCTTTTTCCAGTAGCTCAAACTCGACTCTCACAGTCCCCGTCTCGAGAAGTGCACCCCCAAACAAGGAAGTCACCGTCAAAACTCGAAACTTCACAAAAGCATCAGAACGACCTTCGATTCTCTGGGATCATCAGTCACTTCTCAATAGAGGTGACCTGACCCCAGATACTCTAATCCACACAAAACTTGAGTGAGTTTGGTCATATTCCATGACTCTAACATCGACTTGACTTACAATTTAATAAATCAATATTTTCAAAATAAATTCATATTCCTTTCACAGTACGAAATCATAATCATGTTCATTTCTACCAATACATATTAGTTAACATGCTCATTCACAATGTAACATACCTTAGTTCACGTACACCTGCAAAATCTTCAATTTCAATAACATAATAAATCAAAAAAAAAAACTCTATGCAATAGTATACCTCAATCTCCACGGCATCTGCAAAATCGAGAGTCAATTTAAGGTGAAATAACATTGATTCATTATCACAGTTTATCGTACTTATTTCATGCTTTATGTAAGAACTCACACCGTTAATTAAGAAAGTTAATTAATTAATTTTGAGAAATTAGGAAATAATTTCATAATTGACCCTAATAATTATGAGAAGGCTTAAATAATTCTGGTAAGTGATTAATATTGCTGAAAGTCGCTTTTCTGACGAAAAGTGCAAATACCGGTTCTACTACTCGGTATAAATGCATACTGATGAAGTATCCCAAAAAATTATAATAAGTGCATGAATATTCCTAGAATA